TACATCACTCAGATTGAGACTTTTGAGCCCTACCTAGACAGGAGAAATACCCTTCTTCCAGAAGAATTAGTTACAGAAGACAGATCAGCTGGCCTTCTACATCATTTAGAAACAAAGAATACAGGTCTTTGGAGATATGCTAGAAAAAAATAAAGATATGTAAAATGAGACAATTAAAAAAAAATCATAATTTTCAAGCTGACAAATACTCCTTGAGAACACAAGTTCAGGTTAAATTTTTTGGCCTTCTTGAGGCACACAAGAATCTTGGACAATGCTTTTTATCTGTGAATAATCCACATTTTAAAATTTATAATTGAGCATTGATTTTTGAATAAACCATTATCATACTGTGACTTAAACATTCTCCACAACCTACCAAAAGGACACTATCAATTGTCAAATGTCACAGATTTTCACTGCTCAAAATCCAAAAAGATGCCAGTTCCAAACTGAAGTGCAATTCTCTCTCCTGAGGGCCTACTCTCCACTCTTGAGAACAAACACTTTATAGCTAACCCTTTCTGTGCTCTTATTGATACACATTCAGAACTCTTTCTTCTTTGTTTGTTTGTTTTTTGTTTGTTTGTGACAGGGTCTCGCTATGTCATTCCACCCAGGAACTCACTATGTAGCGCAAGTTGGTCTCAACCTCGCTGAGATTCTCCTGCCTCAGCCTACCAAGTGCTGGGATTATAGGCATGTGCCACCATGCCAGGCCACACTCAAAGATCTTTTTATATAAAAGGAGTCAGCAAAACATCAAATATTCTATGTTTAGGATTGGCCAAGTTCTCAGAAGCAGTCTAGTAAAAACACTGTTAGAGAAGAAAAAGAAGACCACAAAAAAGGGAGTGAAAGAGAAGGATTATATTATATGATTATATTATTTTTGTGTTAAAACATGCCAAACAGACACCTATTTTTTTAATTTATGTTTTTTGGTACCAGGGATCAAACTTGGGACCTTGCACTTATGAGGCAAGTGGCTGATCCACTAGCTAAATCCCTGGCCCTTGACACCTATTTTTTGTAAAGCATATGTGAACTAATAAGAATATTTTGAAGTGTTATGTGTAGGAACACAACTGTGAATTAGTTTAATATTGTCATTTAACAATTTATACAGAAAGGATTATAGAACCCCACCCCCAATCATTTTTTGGTTTAGAAAAGCAGCCCAGGCACACAAAAATGTATTTTATTAGACTTAGATCATCACAAACACATACACACTCACACACTCATACACAGTCACAGAAACACTCACTCAACTATTATACAAAAATTAGAATAGGCACCAATTCCCCAAATTTCCATAATTTAGCTTCAACACAGTTGGCTAAAGTGATTACCAGAACAAAACAGTTATTAACAAAGTGTCCATAAGTTTGTCTTCTTCTTCCAGGACTATAGTCTTTGACCCATTGTCACCCCAAGTCTGCTCATGACCCCTACCTTATTGTTGCTCCAAGACTAGACAGACGTGACAAGGAGAACTTTTCTGGTCCAGGAACCAAAGTTTCCACCTGCTTCATCCCCTGTATCGCAGCTTCTACTCTTTCCCCTTTCTTGTCTTATGATTGAGATATTTGAAGAACTTGTACTTTGGGCTTTCCGACTACTTCATTATTCATTTCAAATAGGTTCATGTCCTAGCTCATTCAGTGTCCAAGTTTTAAAGCAATATCAACAAACAGTCCAAAGATTGTAGCTATCATTAGAGAGGGCAAAAAAATCATTCTTTCTGGAACCCCAGCTATATGTACTTAGGTATGTCCCTTCCCAGTGACTTTGATAATTGGGCAGTGTCTGCAAAATGGGGATGTAAGGTTGGCATTTAGAAGCCCTTGGACCTGCTCTTTTTTGAGGGGTTACTGGAAATTGAACTTGGGACCTTGAGCTTTTGAGGCAGAGATAGCACTGAGCTAAATACCCAGTCCCTAGAAGCCCTTGGATCTGAGCACAAGTTATGAACTTGATACTCTGTTTCTCAAACATCAAAAAATTCAGGGCACTCAGGATTATCCTTGAGACAAAGGAGAGACTGAAGAGTCAGAAACTATGTTTTTTCCCATGCAGAAACCCTACCCATGAGCCTGGGGATTCCCCTATGACATCCTGAAGTCACCACAGAGCATAGCAAGACACAGAACTGTATGTGTATTGTTGACCAGATGGGGATTTGCGTGAGACAGAAGCTGAAGCAGAAACAGGACAGGATGCTGGGGTCCACACGGTGGGCCCAGCTCTGTGCCACAGTTTAAAGGGGGTTGAGGATTGGGCAAGAATAATGACAAGTTACACACCTCCAATATTTCCTGAAAAGCCCTTGGCCTCCGCAGATATAAACTAGTTTTTCCTTATCCATCTGCCTGATCTTCCTCTCCTGCTGTCCTATGCTCAGTTTATGCAGCCAGCCTGCATTCCTCAATGGCTGGTGCTCAAAGACCACACTCTGAAATTTGAAAGACAGAAGAAATGAATCCATAACTGGCTGTTATGAGCTAAGTGACAGATGCCATCCAAGACTCTTTGTGCCCAGGGTTATTCCTGAGTGCTGAACTGGTGCACCTGGGGATGACTGCTTTTAAGCTGCACTGCTCCTGGCTTTCCAGAGCAGGCACCTGTTTTCTAAGTGTATTTTGTGGGCCTATCTTGCTTCTGTCTCCTGGAAATAGGGCAATAAATATGCTCAGGTTTCTAGACTGTGTCCTGTGGAGACAACACAACTCAGAGGAGGGCTGCCCCGAGCAAGGAAGGACCCCCAGCAGAGGAGACAGTGTGGGGTGTCACTCTTGAGCAGGGAGGAATGAAGCAGTTTTAAATTCATTGCCAAGACTTTCTCACACTTATTCATTTAAACGGGCCTTTATTATTTTTTCCAGATTGGGGCTGGATGCAGGGCATTTGTACTTAGCCACATCCCCCAGATAATTTTATTTTGGACGCAATCCTTTGGTGTGATGCTAAGTTGTCCAGCTTGGCCTCAAACTTGTAAACTTGTAATTGTTTTTGGTTGGCTTCCCTAAGTGCTCAGATTATAGGAGTGCAGAACCACACCTGCCTTTTATGCATTCTATTTAAAAAGGGAAAACATAAAACCAAGAGAATATAATTATTAAATAACACGTGTGTGACACCTATTCATCAGCAAAATTCTACAAAATCGTCAAGAGTGACCAATAGCCACCTGCCTCACCCAGGGCCAAAGGAAACATCCACATTCAGACAGTTGAACACGTTTCCAATGCAGAGGGCAAGACTGACTGCAGAAATGGTGTGCCACACTGAATGAGATCAGGGTGATGAGGCAGCAACAAGTAAAAATATTCATTCTGATAGCTGAGCATAACTGGTGTTCTCTTTTCCCCTTTCTGAAAATGCAATTTCTTCCACCCTAACATTTACTAGATGAGCATTCTTACCTGGAGTCACTTTAAGGTTCTCACTGAATCTGTCAAATCATCAGCCCTTACTTCTACAAACAACATAAAGAAATCTATCTCTGAGAGCATCCAGTACCACTCTTATATGAGCAAAAATTTTAATGGATACAATCAGACACCGATGCCATTATATATATGCACACCAAAATCAAAACTATGTGTAAAAGTTCCCAAGGAAAATTTGGTCAGAAAGAAGCTAAGCAGTCAATGGCCTTGGCTTCTGCCTTCTGCATGGCTTCTGCATATCAATCTTCTAGCCTGTGAATCTTCTGCATATGGATTTCCAGCCTTCCACCAATCTCCTCCAGCTTTCACCATTCATACTCACTGTTGCTGTTCTCTACAGCTTGAGCCCACCCATAGGGAAGACTGCTGCCCAGAAAGCACCAAGGGAAATCCACTGCTCCTTCTCTGCAGGTCCAAGTTTGCCCTCATATTGAAGATGTGATTCATCCACATCACAAACTTTGTAGATTAAGTAAGACAGAAATATTGACTCCAAGTCTTTGAACATGTCTTTGTGACAATCCATGATTCATATTTTGTTATCCGGTTGAGTAGAAATGTGAAATGCTCTGACACTTTATGTGTATTTTAAAATGGACAAATAGGGACAGGCATTTGGCTCAGTGGCACCGCACCTGCCTTGCAAGCACAAGGTTTTGAGTTCAATCCTCTGTACCAAAAAGCATGAAAAATTACAGTGGACAAACAAAAATACTTTTGAGGATCTAAAGAAGTCTACAAATAAATACTTATATGCAATTATTCTGGTTTGCGGAACAACTCAGCAAACATGAACTCTCCTGTTCTGTTAACCTCAGTAATTCTCTCAAGGTCCCAGGTGATGCTTGCCTTATGGTGGTGACCATGTGGTGAAGTTTGTGTTCTCTTTGACATTTGCAACTGTCTCGTTACCTCACTGTTATTACTACTCACCTACCCAGTCTTTTCTAGAGTCAATCCTAAACTTCCTAAAGATGTATTTTCCTTTCACAGATTTATATCTCCTCCAGATTTGTTCCTTCTGAAGTTCAAGCACACTCCTTGTGAAACCAAGGCATTGCCCTGGGGCAGATAGGAAGTTTTCAGGAATCTGTGATGTAGACAGTGGACTGGAAGAGGGGTTGTTCTTTGGCAATGTACATGCTGTTTCTCCCTTGGCCAGCTAGCCAGTCATATGTCTCTTCAGAGAACTTCTGTCTAGTCTTTTCCTCTGTGACAAGCCAGAAAAAAAGGAGGTGTGTACTTCTATATTAAAATGAAGAGCAGTGCCCCCTTATCCCATGGGGGATATGATACCATGTGGCCAAGGTATGCTGTCCAGTAGATAGTAATGAAACACACACATACACACTATACCCCATACAGAAAAACCCAAAACAAAACAAAACACCCAACTGTTCACAAATCTCTGAAAAAATATTTTAACATAAAATATATCAAATTCAAAAACATGTTTTATTACACAGAATATGGAGTATGCACTACAAAGTTACAACAAATATAGTAGCAAAATCCCAACAATTAACAAAGCACCATTTAAAAATTTACGTTTTTTAGTGGTCCATACTTCCCAATTTAAACACAAAACAGTTAACTACAGAGGAACTATATTGGAAAGTAAAAACTACTTTTCAGTTTACCATGTATAATTAAAAGACACCATAGATTAAGCACAAAGATATACAAAAAATATGAAACTATGTCAACAAAATATTTTTAAACCCTAAAATACATAATCTACATGTTTCTAAGTTATTACTAAAAACCACACAATTTATGTACTTCAGGATATCTCTAGCTGGGATTTGTATTTTCTGAGTCATATGTAAATTACTTTGTTTTTTGAAGCAGGGTCTCGCTTTGCAGTTCAGGATGGCCCTGAACTATGTAGCCAGGTTGGATTAGAATTTGTAGCCATTGAGCCAGGGATTTGGCTCAGTGGTTTGACTGCCTACCTTGCAAGCACAAGGGCCTAAGTTGGATCCCTGGTAATAAAAAGGCAAAAAAAAAAAAAAAAAAGAATTTGCCGTCATATTCCAGTGCTAATACATCAAATTTTTTGTATTATTTCTACAGATCTCTACTACACGAGAATTTTTGACAGGATTTTAAAATAAGCTCTCATATACAGAGCATATCTCCAGGGTGACTTCTCTCATGAAATTAACAATTTCTGTAAACTGACACATATCTGATATTACTTATATATTCATGGTTTCTCCCAAGGGTTTTTCATGTATTTGACAATCACGTGTTCTGAAAAATTTTACATGCATTACTTATGAATGATCAAAACCCAGTGAGAGTGCTTTCATGTTTTTGACAATCACCATGTCTGAGGAGAGCTTACCAACATTACTTATATAGAGAGGGCTTCACCTTAATGTGAGCTATTTTTGGCAACTGCTTCTGCTGAAAGCTTTCCCATATTTTATGAATTGTTTCATGTCTGTGACAGGTACTACTTTTGCTGAAAGCTTTCCCACACTGCTTACATTCATAGGGCTTCTCCCCAGTGTGAATCCTTTCATGTGTTCGAAGATGACTGCTTCTGCTGAAAGCTTTCCCACATTGATTACATACATAGGGTTTCTCCCCAGTGTGAACTCTTTCATGTGATCGACAATGACCACTTGTGGCGAAAGCTTTCCCACAATGCTTACATACATAGGGTTTCTCCCCAGTGTGAATTCTTTCATGTATTTGGTAAGCACGTTTTGTGCTCAAACCTTTACCACATTGCTTACACACATAAGGATTCTCCCCAGTGTGAACTCTTTCATGTGTTTGGTAAGCACCTTTTGTGCTAAAACCTTTCCCACATTGCTTACACACATAGGGTTTCTCCCCAGTGTGAGTTCTTTCATGTTTTTGACAAGTACTACGTGTACTGAAAGCTTTCCTGCACTGCATACATTCGTAAGGTTTCTCCCCAGTGTGAACTCTTTCATGTGTTCGACAATGACTGCTTGTGCTGAAAGCTTTCCCACATTGCTTACATACATAGGGTTTCTTCCCACTGTGAACTCTTTCATGTGTTCGACGACGACTGCTTGTGCTGAAAGCTTTCCCACATTGCTTACATACATAGGGTTTCTCCCCAGTGTGAACTCTTTCATGTATTCGACGACGACTGCTTGTGCTGAAAGCTTTCCCACATTGCTTACATACATAGGGTTTCTCACCAGTGTGAATTCTTTCATGTATTCGACAAGCACTTTTTGTTTTAAAAGTGTTCCCACACTGCTTACATACAAAAGGTTTCTCCTCACTGTGAAACCTTTCATGACTTTTAAAACCTCTATGTGTGGCAAAAGCTTTCCCACATTGCTTACATACATAGGGTTTCTTCCCACTGTGAACTCTTTCATGTGTTTGACAAGCACGTTTTGTGCCGAAAGCTTTGCCACATTGCTTACAGACATAGGGTTTGTCCCCAGTGTGAACTCTTTCATGTTTTTGAACATATCCATATGTGCTGAAAGTCCTCCCACACTGCTTACATTCATAGGGCTTCTCCCCAGTGTGAATCCTTTCATGTGTTCGACGATGAGTGCTTGTGCTGAAAGCTTTCCCACATTGCTTACATACATAGGGTTTCTCCCCAGTGTGAACTCTTTCATGTGCTCGACAATGAGTGCTTCTGCTGAAAGCTTTCCCACATTGCCTACATACATAGGGTTTCTCCCCACTGTGAACTCTTTCATGTATCTGAGAATACATGTGTGTGGTGAAAGCTTTCCCACACTGCTTACACACATAGGGTTTGTCCCCAGTGTGAGCTCTTTCATGTATTTCACAACATCTACGTGTGGTGAAAGCTTTCCCACATTGCTTACACACATAGGGTTTCTCCCCAGTGTGAGTTCTTTCATGTCTTTGACAAGTACTACGTGTACTGAAAGCTTTCCTGCACTGCATACATGTATAAGGTTTCTCCCCAGTGTGAACTCTTTCATGTGTTCGATAATGACTGCTTGTGCTGAAAGCTTTCCCACAATGCTTACATATATAGGGTTTCTCCCCATTGTGAAATCTTTCATGTGTTTTCCAAGTACTATAAGAATTGAAAGCTTTCCCACATAGCTTACATACATAGGGTTTCTCCCCTGTGTGAAGTCTTTCATGTGAATTGCAAGTACTATATGAGATGAAAGCTTTCCCACACTGCTTACACACATAGGGTTTCTCCCCAGTGTGAATTCTTTCATGTATTCGACAATAACCATTCGTGCTAAATGCTTTCCCACATTTCTTACAGACATAGGGTTTCTCCCCACTGTGAACTCTTTCATGTATTTGACAACATCTACGTGTGGTGAAAGCTTTCCCACACTGCTTACATACATAGGGTTTATCCCCAGTGTGAGCTCTTTCATGTAGCTGACAATATCTACGTGTGGTGAAAGCTTTCCCACACTGCTTACACACATAGGGTTTCTCCCCACCATGAGTTCTTTCATGTGTTCGACAATGACTGCTAGTGCTGAAAGCTTTCCCACATTGCTTACATACATAGAATTTCCTCCCAGTGTGATTTCTTTCATGGATCTGAACATACTTATATGTTCTGAAAACTTTCCCACATTGTTTACATACATAGGGTTTTCTCCCACTCTTATTTCTTTCTTGGATCTGATCATCACTGTCAGTGTTGGAAGCTTTAAAATTTTTCTTACATACAAAGGCCTTCTCTCTAAGATGAGTTCTTTCACTAAGATCAGAGTAGGATTTCCCACCTTGACGATGTTCACAGGGTTTCTCTCCAGCCTTTGTCCTTGCATGATTCTGAAAGGACTGGATATCACTGCAATTTCTTTCATTTTGATCACAATTCTCTTTGGGTCTCAAGTATTTATATGGCTTCAGAGCAGTGAGAGCCGTGGTGGGCACATTTTGTGACCAATGACCAATCAGAGCCTCACTACAAGCAAGGCTTTCAGGTGGTGTTGAAGCAGCTTGTTTACTGTGCACATTAGCAACTGGAGTACAAAGGAACGTTTCTTCACATCGATTCCAAGCTTTATACTGATAGCATTTCTCCACTTCTTCATTTCTGTAAAGAAAAAGTCACAATAATGGGTCTCTATGTTAATGATTTACCAGAAGAAGTTCTGTTTGATGCCTGCTAACAAATTTACACAATGAATTAACAGAATGTCTTGAAGAGAATCTTCAAAACACCCATTCCCACAACAGTGGTATTCGTGTAGGAATTTTTAACTTTATATAATTTCCAATACAGAAAGTTGAGCTTTATTTTGGACAACTTGCCCATAGGTGTATCACACACGGAACACTGTGATACCTTTTCCCCCAACCCTCTCCCCCTTCTCTCCTTACCGTTTCTCTTTCCCATCTCCAAAACACCAGCTTTTCCTTTTTCTATCACGTCTTCTTTATTTTACTAATGTATATGTTTGGTTTGTCACAAAAGAGATACCATATGATATTTCTCATTTAATGCCTGAGTTATTTAACTTAACGTACTTTGATGAATATCCATTTATTTCTTTTGGCAAATGCCATGACATTATTCATCTTTTTGGTGAATTATATAGCATATTTTCTCTTTCTTTTCACAGCTCGGAATTAAACAGAGGTCTTAGGAAAAACCCTCTATCTTTTCGATTTCTTATTCTCAGAGAAGTCCTTGAGGATTAAGTGGCTCAGGCTGAGCTTCAACTTTCCAGCCTACAGCATCTATTTCCCAGAATGTGGGGCTGACAAGAATGCACCATCACTGAGCTTATCATCAATCTTCATGCATGTATCCAGTGATGGATACCAAACTGATTCCAGGGCTTAGTAGGTATAAATTGGCCTGCTCTTAGTATGGGTATGCATGTATCAGTATGATATGATGATTTTAACTCTTTTAAGAATATACGCAAGACACTTATGCATAGATCAAATAAAAGCTCTATTTTCAGTTTCTGAGTCATCTCTATACAGCTTATTATGGTAACTGTACTTAACACTATACCAGAAATTATGGAGGGTGCCTTCTAAGAATTTTAAATCAGGAATGAACTCAATTCTCTGCAAAACACCTATTGCAACACTAGCATTCTTATTTGTACTTTCAGTACTCCTTCAAGGTTAGCAATTTTCAGATACCATATGTCTGAAATTCACACGTATACATCAATAGTTATCTTGAATTTGGGTTCCTGTGAAAATTCAAAGTTTATTTTTTACATACACACCTATATATAATCCTTAAATGCAATTTCATACATTTTTAGATTTAAATTGTGAGATTATACATAATCGAGCTGCATAGATCTTTACAGAATATCTGTGACATTAAATTGAACTTGGCCTCATTTACTAGACAGTCATGTTTCTGCTCACACACTGAGTATCGAGGAACATTCTTTCTTGTGAAGGGAAATTACCTTAGATTTCTCCAGCAATTTCTGTAGTCTTCTTCAGCCTCCTGCTTATCCCACATTCTTCCTGAGTTGTAGACATAGAAATACAAGGACACATTATATTATTACATGAATATTAAGATTCCAATTTGATTCATGATATAGTGTAACCAGGCCTGCGATATTCTTCAAAATATTTTCTCATTCTAATGAGACAGCACTGATGAGCAATAAGCAATACTCTCTGACTGTATAGATGAGAAAGAGATATCCTTACCTATAGTAACCATATTCCTAAAGGTTTCCCCCATCACATCTCTGTAGAGCTTCTTTTGGGATGGATTCAGCAAAGCCCACTCCTCCATGCTGAAGTTCACAGCCACATCTTCAAAGGTCACTGCTTCCTAAACATCATACAGATATTTCTCAAAGAAAGGCTGACACTCACAGAATGGGATATTTCAACTCCTCTCATAAAATGTTGAATTCAAAGCTGGGCGTGGTGGTACATATGTGTGCTCCCCGCTCATACCTCATCAGAAGGCTGAGTTAGAAGGACTGCCATGAGTTTAAGCCCAGTGTGGGCTTCCTAGTGAGTTCAAGTCCAGCCTGAACTACACAGTGAGACTCTGGCTCAATAAAACAAAACAAAACAAGCTGAATGGAGGTTGAATCCTTCAAATATTAAATTGTTTCATCATCAATTTGAAGCATATGCACTTTTTTTTCAAACAGCAATGCTAACAGAATAGAAGAATAGGAACATGGGTTCTTTCTGTAGGCCACTGTAAGGGTATCAGTGCACTCATGAAATCAGATCTCACACAGGAAACCTACAAGATCACCATCCACAAAACACCTGGGCAGATGAATATCCTTTTTTTTTTTTTTTTTTCAGTCTGTGGATGAAACTCAGGACATTACACTTGCAAGGTAGGCCCAGCATCATTGAGCTAAATACCCAGCCCCCAAATTTTTTCTTTTGGTACCAGGAATCAAACTCAGGATCTTGTGCTTACCAAGCCGGCACAGCGCTACTAAGCTAAATCCCATTGAATGGCTTTGATACTTCATCGGTACAGTCACAGTTCAAATCTTTTTATGGAATTGAGTCCTTGTTTCTTTGACTGTACTTAAGCAGGATTTTGAAATTTGAATTTGGTTTCATAAAAAAATTGAACATCAGATACAGTTATGAGTAATTAAAATGTTAATGGAAAAAGTTTTATTATAGCAAGTTTATGAAAATGAAAACAAAGAAAGGCTGGTAAAATATCTTATAGCTCAGTGTCACCAAGTGGTCTCCTTACTGTCAGATATAAGGAGTGAGAGATACAAGGGGAGGAAGATGAATAAAATGTAGTTTGCATTGAAATTCAATATATCACAAAGTACATGTACAAGTGAAAAATTTCAGTCCATTGTGGTGGTACATGTCTATAATCCAGAAACTTGGGAAGCTGGTTCATTTCAAGGCCAGCCTCAGCTACATAGTAAGTTCAACCACACTGAAATACAAAGAGAGGCCATGACTCAATCACCCCACAAAAAGAACATTTCTTAAAAAATAAAAAAAAGTCACTTGCAAGTGACTTTTTTGATTTGTTAAAAATACTACCTATACACTATAATACAATTCTAACAAGAAGACTGATAGCTTCCATAATATACATGAATGACATTGAAACTCCACCTTTCATGAGACTGCACCATTAGTAGAGAAAAGAACATGTCAGAAAAACAAGACAGACTTCAATGCGTCCACATATACCCAAATTATTGATTCTTTTGGGGGGGGCAGGGATCAAACTGGGGACCTTGCACTTTCGAGGCAGGCGGCAGAACCACTGAGCAAAATCCCCAGCCACAAAATATTGATTCTTGATACAGCTGGTGTTACATCTCTGGAAGAAATCACAACCTCTTTCATTTATGTTCAGGAAGAAACAAGTGTGTACTTGGAAAGCTGGATTGTATAATCTTTTACTCTATGTGCAAAAATTACGTTACATTATGAAATGGGAAAGATAACCTTAAGTGACTTGAGAATTCATAGTGAAATAACTTTTTAAATGTGAAAAAATGTTTTCCTCAGAAGACAATCAAGTAACCATCAGAATTAGGACAAACTCAAATATATGAAAAACATACAGTATAAACAAGACAAGTATTTTCAGTGTACACAGTGTAAAGATTTTATAAAGGGATAAAAGACCAATGAAAACAAATGTAAAATAAATAAAAACATGTCTAACTCAAGAGAAAATAATGAATAACTATCAAAGACCACACTTTTTTAAGAAAATATATGGGACTGTGGAAGAACACAATAAAGATGTAGATTTATGCAAGATTGAAAACAATCGATACACTCTACACTCATTTCCTTTACTTTAGTTGACCAAAACGTACATATCAATGACTTGCTTCCAATATCCAAAGGATACACAATACTACTATTCCTGGAGATAGATGTGATTCATGGGACCAATGGAATGGGTGAGAAAGCACTTGCTCTTGATTCATATATCAGCATGTGTGAACAATAGTGAGAGGGAAAAAAATAACCCTCTAAAAATAGTTCTCTTGCAATTTCTATTATTAGTCATGTATTAAAAATTCCAAGGGAGGAAACTAAAAGAACATTGTTTATAGAAACTCACATGGTAAACTCAGAAAACATCTTGAAAGTGGGACAGTGGTCATCCATGGAGCAAGAGAAATTGAGTCAGATTAGGTAGCAGGTATCAAACACCTGGATGTTCCCATCCATTGCCCAAGACCCAGTGAAGAAGGGCAGGCAGGCAGGGCACCACTGAGCTAAATCCCCAACTCCTCACCAACAATTTTCACTTGTCAAGTAAGCTGTTTTTCTTTGTTTGTTTGTTTGTTTTTTTGTACCAGGGATTGAACTCAGGCCCTTGTGCTTGTGAGGCAGGCACCAGAACCACTGAGCTAAATTCCTGACATCTCACCAACAATTTTGAAAGTAAAATTTATATTAAAATGTTCAAACCCTAACTTATCATTAAGAAAGCACACATTAAGTTATATCTGCATTCATGTATGAAAAGATGAGACATCATTCCCACAGTGGTGAGCACTAAGCAAAGCAGCACAGTGGCAAACAGGAGACCCCCAGATCCCCAGCAAGCAGTGGTCAAATTATACTGCCCATTGGAGGACAGGATAGATGGTCAGAGAAAGACAGAACAGATATCAGAGCTTACCAATGACTACACATGTGTTATGGACCCAATGCTGTGCCCGCCTTGAATGGAGTGGCTTTTATGTTGATATATGGGAGGGCAATCAATCTTCAGACTACCTAGAAAGGGGAAGGGCAAGGGCTAAAGAGAAAACAGACAAGAGACTTGTGAAATTTCAAAGTATATTGGGGTCAGGGAGGTCAATGCCTCAGAGTGGGCAAAGACAAAGACTCCAATTTAGCCACTTTTGATTTGATGCACCCATAATTGGGAGGGAGCATCAGGGGACTTGGGGACCCAAGGAGATCTTCTGTCTGATTTTCTGCAGATGCAGATGCCATGCTGGTGAGAGCAGAAAGGAGAGTATTCTCACCTCAGTAGGTGGGATGAACTGAGCCAATAAGGATTTCCTCCCTCCCTAGGTGAAACCTTTCTCTTTTGTATTCCACTTGGTTCTCAAGAAATCAGGATGTCTTCAGCTGGTGTCATCCTGCCACTGAGAGCCACAGCTTCACAGACCATTGAGGGCTCAGCTGTGACCTGAGGCAAAACGAAGTTGTGTTTCTACATGCCATATCCAGCTCTTGGCCAAGGCAAAGCTACAGTCATACTTTAATTATGAAATGACTCTCCCCAACCTTTACGTGGAAATGCTCCTGACAATAACATTGATGAGGATAGATTTTATAGAAAGCTATGCAAAATGTTACACAATTCTATCAGTGATTCAACAGAATCTGCAGAATGTATATTAATCTGACAATATTCAATTTATATCTCAAAATTAACAATGCTATTAGGTGAGGCAGTTCTCTGAAAAGAACATTGATACATATTCTACTGAACAGATCATTAGATTACATGACACAAAACATGAACATGAAGAGAAATATCACTAATTCACAACTATGTCTGCAGATGTCAAAACAACTCCATCAGTAATTGATAGTTGAAGAAAGAAGAAAAATCTGTAATGGGACAGTTAAAATTAACAAATTGCGCTTCACGGAGATTATCTGGATACTGCATAAAACTTCATCTAATGACTACATAGTACAATGTCTTCTAAAAATCACAAGAAATATTCACCCAGAGACTATGTTCAGAGCAATAATAGGGAATTTGACTTCTAGGGGGAAAATAATTAAAATATTATATGGTCATGTACCAACTCCCTACAACGAATGTAAACATTACGTGCATTAAGCATGGAGCAATAAATGTTAAAAAAGGAAAAATGTGTTCAAAGTAATGGAAATTTTACATGTGGGTTTCACACCAATTCAAATAAAATCTGACATCAAGAGCAGAAGCATATTTAAAATTCTTAGAATTAGAGAGTATGGGCCAGGGTAATAGCACAGCAACATAGCAACTGCCTGGCAAGCATAAGAATCTGAGTTTAACTCCCACTACCAAAATACATAAATAAATAAATAAATAAAAATAAAAATAAAATAATAATAGACATTAAATCATAAAGTTTTACTTATTTTTATTTATTGTTTCGTACTGGGGATTTAACCCTTGTGCTTGCAAAGCAGGCAGAAATCATAAAGTTCTAAAAGACATGCTTCAAATGCAAGGCTTCATTAAATATTAAGGGGGTAGAAGCATTAAAGTGAATGTACAATGTATTAATTGTCATTTCAGGGACTCAGAAATAGGGGCTTCAAAACATTAAAAACAATGCATGTAGATACTTGAAAAGAACAAAGATTACAACATTAGAAATTTAAAAATAGCCCTGTGACAATTAAAATTACCCAACAAATAGGAAATTTCACTGCCCATTATTTATGTGGACAATAGAGAATGAATTATTAAAAGTATCAAATGCAAGGGCCAGGGATTTAGCTCAGCAGTTCAGTGGCCTGCCTTGCAAACGTAAGGACCCGAATTCAATCCCTGGTACAAAAAAAAAACAACAACAAAAGTATCAAAAGCATTACTGAATAATTACTGTAATCTATTACAATAAAATCTAGACAACAAATATCATAAAATGCTGGCAGTGGATAGGGACAAAACAGAAGATTAAAAAGTAATAAGCAGATATTAAGATGGAAGACATCAAAATGTTTATACTTGCATATAACATCACAGTATATGCTAGAAATATTAAAGCATCAAGAACTTAATGGGATTACTAAAGTGTTGTACCACAGATTACATCCCTAGCTCAATATATAGCA